ATGCCTCAGGGTTTTAAACTTACAGAACAGTAGGGAGACAACGCATCGCCTCGGTATATGCCACACTTGATAGCTATTTGTTCAAGCTGTTTCGAATTGATTTTCCACAAACCCATTGGTTCTTAATGAGCATCTTTAGGGTCTTGTTAACTTTTTATAGAGCCAGACATTCACCGATCTATGTGTGAGGCATTGAGTCATAGGTTTTCTTATAGTTCAAGCTGTACACAGATTGGTCTGCCAAAATTTTGAGTCTGTCTTACCTAAGCAACTGGTGTTTGTTACCTTTATTGTTGTTCCCAATGTTTTCTGAACTGCACTTATATACTGGCTCATATGGTCATGAAACTTGATGGCTATGATGCATGATAGGACTTTCCACATTGCCGAGAGGCAGATTATTGGCGAATAGTTGGACGATGTTATTTTCCTCGAAGATCTTTCATGATTAATGCTGTCCTTCACTTGTTAACCAGTCTGGATGAGAGCCTGCCACAAGCAGCTGGTTCATCTGTTAGGTGCTCATGAACCGCTATTATCTTCTTCAGCCAGTAGTGTGAATCATATCCGGAATAAAAAAAATCCAGGTACCTTCCAACTTTTTATATTTTTAAGCCGTTGTTGTATATCAGCAACTATGATGACTGGTTTCTGCTCTGGGAGATTGTTGTGATTTGTTTTCAGATCTTGCAGTTATTTTGCATTGGTGTTATGAATCTTCTGTTTTTTTTCCAGTATTGTATAGTTTCTGCTGTTGGTGGTTATATTGTTGCAATATTACTGCACTGAGGTTGAGAATACACCTTGGGCAGTTCCTTGGAAAACCTTTTATTTTCTCAGCATCCGGATACTATTTTTATTCCTCATACCCCTTCTATCAGCTAGCTAACTCTTTTGCATTGCGCTCTGATATTATTTTCCAGCCTTATTTTCCAAGAGCGAATTGCACTGTTATTCTTTTTGATATACACCACTTCGAGAATTACAATAGCTGTGGTACCAATTTATTAGTTTCTGTTGCAGTGGCAGTAGGAATTGTTGGGAGGGCTCTTTTTTTATCTTCGATTATATTATCTGGTAGTGCACTGAGTCTCCAGTCTGTCTCGATGGTTAATTACAGACATTTTGTTCATGATTTGCTGCCTCATTTCAACTGTTTTGCTTTGCAGTGGAGATATTGGAAAGCAATTTCCAGCTTCCTAGCTTGCAGCGTATACATCTTTTCTTTTCTTTCTGAACATTCTGGGTCTTATGTGTAGCGCATTTAGAGAGCAATTTTCTATGTTAAAACATTGAGTCACTAACTGTTTTTCAGTTAATGTAGACGTAGATCTTTCTTCCATCCACAGTTCCTTCATACATCTCATATAGCCCCTTCAATTAGATCTACTGTTATAGCGGCATTCCATCAATTCCAGATTGTCTTGCCTTGTTCACGTAAGGTTTCAGTTCTAGTAGCCTTTTTAATGCTATATCGCCCTAGTCCCACAACAACTGGCGCTGTTTTGGTAGCCCACTTGTCATTAGATAACCCTGATCCTTAAGCCTCTGGCGTGGATCTTGTTAATCCACGCGGCGTCCGAACCGGTGTATGCGACACTCTCATATTGAGGTAGGGCAGGTAAGCACTTAAGGAGTCTTGCCTAAGGACCCCACCGGAAAGTTAGAGGCTTTTGGCTGCGATTCGAACCACAATGTTGTTTTTTATTCCATACCGATCGCCCGTCCTTAACTACTCAATATATATATATATATATAATCTTTTCTTCCACCCCCTCCCCCTATAGGTGAACATGATCATTCTCGGGTCCTCTACCGAATGCCTGAGAGGATTCTGCGCAGTATCTTAGCTGTTCCTAATGGCACACTATTCTGGATAGAGATCTCTGATGTTGTCCCTGGAGCCTGCTGAAGCCATTTTTCTAGTTTAGGAATCTCAGCTCCATGTGCTCCAATTATCAAATATATAAAAAATATATATATAAATAATGAGTTCCAAAAGAGTATGATTAAGAATAACAATTTTCTGTGTGAAATAAAAAATGGCACTTAGTCTGGCAGTGAATTGATATTTGACCATAGATGATGCCGTGGAAATTTTTTGTTGATAATGAATATTTTCTTTTAAAAACCTGGGAAAGAGGGAGAAACTAGGGAAAAAACTACATAACTAGCCAGTTATTCCCAATAATTTCAATTAATGTTTCTGATGAAGAAGCTGTTGGACAGAGCGTTTCAATCTTGCAATCGGTTTACACAATTCCAAACCAGTAAATCTGATAGCATTGATATTCAACCGTAACAATTAAAGCAAGTTAATAAAACCTTGCAAGATCTTATCATAATCCATAATCCTTCTTCCTAATGTTCTTTAATTCTTCTTATTCTAACATAAAAAATTCAGCCTCGATTTACAATAAATTGGGGATTAAGATTTATTGACCTTAAAAAGTTCTTTGTAATCTCACTGAGAAGATGCACACCTTATCACATTAATCACCTTAACCGCCTTGGTCGATTTGCCATAATTAAGCGGAAAGCAAATTGCTTGCATTCTATGTGTGGACGAGCAAATGTTTTATATTGATAAGAAAATGTGACTTCTGAACTGAATTTAAAATTCTAAAGGATTCCTTAACAATATTTCTGTTGCATAAATCAAATCTCTGAGTTAGAATAGAATGGCGAATATATAATGATGGGATATTTTCAATAATAGGTAGAGAATTTGGCAATTATGCAACAGAATTTTGAATCATCATGGGTGATTTAATACGTCTCTGAAACCTTGTTTAAATCATACTGAAGACTGTTCAAGTGATCTACTATATGAACGACAAATTTTGGAGCCATCGGCATATAAATATGAGTTAGAAATGCCATTATGCCATTAATATGCGAATGTCTTGAGCCTATTGTAATTAAAACGAAATTATGTATAAACACATGGTAATTTAAAACCAAATTAAATAAATTATTGCAAATAACTTAATAACACCGTGGCGTCTACGTGAAACGGTATCAACAGCTGTTGCTAAATCCAAATAAACCGCTGAAACCATATGGCCACGGTCAGTTTATATGGATCAATCCCAAATGTCAGCTAAATAAATGGTCAATTTTTTTCTCCTGAAAACCATGTTTAAATCCAGATATTAGTTTATTTGTTTGGCACCATAATTTCTTGTATATGAGCCTTTCCAGATAATACAAATAATACTAATCAGTTTGTACTTAGGTGTATTACCTTTTTCTTTAAAAAAATGCGAAGTTGTATGCGAAAACTTCTGGTAGGATTAATGCCATAATATATTTAAAGGGTAGATGTAAAACTAGAAATCTAGTAGTATTCTAGTGAAACATTTTTATATTTGTGAAATATCATCGGCGGCAGTGCGCAGTGCGCACAGATGCAATTAATTATATTAAACCCTTATATCCAATAAAAGCATATCTATCATATATTATTTAGGAAGAAATGCTGATTAAAATAGTGGTTTAATAATTTTAAACTTGAATTTTTATTCAAAAATATGCTGAACAAGTGGCTCCCAATGGTGTCGACATATTCGATGGAACTTTGACAAGTTGGCGGAAATCTAGTGATCGATTAGAGGTCGACAATCACTGGAACCAGTCAGACTTGTATTTTTACTTGCATTTTTTTTAAAAATCATACAAATTTCAAATGATAATAAAAATAACAATCATGTAAGAACTGTCTTATTTTTTTTTAAGTACGAAAAAACTGGAAAACCAAGACTAATTTCAATCAAGTGGTCGTCCAAAAATTTTCTTTAATATGTTTAAAATTTCGAAGATATATTTTGTAGCCATATCAAAAAATCTTCATTTTTTCATTATTTTACATGCGAAATCTTCGAATTTCTGAGCGTTCAATTGAAAAAATAATTTTTTGTGGACGATCAACGTAAAGGAGAACAAGAAAAAACAAGAAAAAACCTTATTGGAAAAATACGAATTTAAAAGTTAATAGAGATTACAACATTCAGTTAAGACAGATTTGAGTTTTCTGGATTCAAAAATTTTTTTTTAAATCCAAAATAAGACAGTATTAGCGAAATTTAAAATCCTCCTTACATATGAAATATTTGCGTGTCTCAGTACGAATTTATTTTATATGTAGAGAAATCATCATGGGAATGAATTTGCTTTATTTATTCACTTTTCCTAAGTTCTCAAATTGTCAACGTAAAAATTTAGGGATTTTTTTCCTAAATGAAACTTTAGAGCAAACCTTTTTTAATGACATATGAATTATACTGTTGATGTTAATAAGAAATGACACTTGAAGGAAATGATGGGAGAACGATAGGAGGTATAACATTGTCTAAATTATCTAATTATTACATTGTTATATCTGATAGAACCATTTACATATTGACCTTTAATAATAATTCAAAAAAACTGACTTTTCTCATAAAGTGAATTGTGAATCTTATCATTATTATAATTAGTAAAATCTAAGGTGAAAAGATTCCAGTATAGTCTGTATATTTTTATATATATGTCGCTGATGAAGTAAAATTTCTTGATAGGAAAAATCATTTTAATCATAAAAGATTCGAATTCTATCTTTTCGTATTCTATTCTTTCAAAACCATCAAAATTCAGCTCTCTACCTCTATAACGTCGCTCAACCATTGAGATTTCACTGAGATGCTATCTAAATTATTAGGAAAGGGCATATAACATGTATTTTAGATATTGTCTAACACTACAGTATAATGAAAAAAATTTTTTACTACATAGTTGCTACCACATCACCATTTAGGTCTCGTAAACTAAACGACATCGGCGAGATCATATAAGTTGCTTGCTATCCTAATCCATAACCAAGTCTGGCGTAATCCAGCAGTTCTAAATGCTCTAATACCATATTTCTTTAGTGGAGATCCTTGACTGGTTGTCCATCCATTTACTTTTTAGTGAGGACTTTTCCTTTTATAGCATGCTTGAGTGCTTTTTTGTTATGCAGATCAAGGCAGCGAAAAACGTATTCTGATCTTAAGTGCGCAAGGCATAGGCGACGATTTCCCCTCGTGTTTACGATTTCGTTTAATGCAATTAATGCTCAATCCTGCTGCGCATATGATATTTTCAGCAAATTTACCAGTGACTCCAGCCTTATCCTTTGTGACCTGTTTTACGTTAACTACAATAGGATATAATTTCTCTTCTTCCACTGTCGAATACTCAGCCATGTGTTTCATCCAATTTACGTTTGGGTGAGCTGAATGGTGTGCATCTAATGGGCTTGGACCGATTTTGTCAATTAACAGCATCCAGTTATTCCTCCTAAGCTCCTCATTGGCCAATAAATGTGTCGGCTGTACTCTGATCATTTGACCAATTCCATATGTTTTAGTAACGTGAGCCAGAATTTTTCGTCTTATTAATCCACTTGCTGTGAATAATCTGATGTAGCATCTTTTTTTCTTTTTGAATATTTGATTATTTGCTTCAAAATCAAAAATTTATAGGAAATGGTCAATTCAAAGATGACAGGGTAAAGAATGTAATGCTTGCAGTTGATCGTGGTGATTTTGCACCAACTCATAGCTATGGGGATTACCCCGTATCAATTGGATATGGAGCCACGATAAGTGCCCCTCATATGGTTTGAATATTCTTGCAATGTTTTAAAGAAAAAGTACTATAGAGTGCTAACACCAAGTTAAAGTACCTCTCTTTTATCAAAATAATAGTGAAATTAAACAGCGATTTTTGAAAAATTTGCAAAGATGAGATTTTCCCATTGCTTAATACTTGCTTAATACTCGAGTTTTTAGCATGCTTTCGCTCTAGAGTTATTGAAGGATCATTTGAAGGAAGGTGATAAAGCACTTGATGTTGGTTCTGGATCCGGCTATTTAACGGCTTGTATGGCAATAATGGTTAGTTTTCCATTTTCAAAAATTTTCAGCACTTCGTTTAAAGAATTGATATAATAATATGCCCATTTATACCGGATCATTCACAATTTTCTCCTAGTGCTGCAACTGTTGCTGAATTTCCGAAATTATTTCAATTAGTAAACTAAATTTATCACACAAATTTTCTAGAGAATTGAATTTTTTGAAAATCGCTGCAAATTATGAATTATAGGTTGGTAAAACCGGCAAAGTAGTCGGAATTGACCACATTGATGAGCTCGTTAATTTATCACGTCATAATATCAACAAACACCACGGTGATCTGTTATCGGAAAACAGAATTATTCTCGTAGTAGGTGATGGAAGAAAAGGGTATGAGGCAGAAGCACCATATAAAGCGATCCACGTTGGCGCCGCATCTCCCAAAATACCTCAAGAGGCAATCAATTCACATAGAAATCTATCGTCCATAACAATAGATAATGTACAAAAAATTTTCAGCTAATTGATCAGTTAGCAATTGGAGGTCGAATGTTCATTCCGACTGGCCATGAAAATGGCGTTCAACGACTTATGCAGGTTGATAAAGATGAGCAGTCGCAGATAAAAACAATGCCTTTAATTGGCGTAAGATATGTTCCTCTCACTGATTATGCTTCGCAGCTCCGTGTTAAAGTGTTTGATGAAAATGCATAATGTATTTTTCATTCTACTCGAACAAATGTTTGCAAATTGGCTTAAAAAAAGGCTATCTTGTAATTACGAAAAAGAAAACATAAGAAGGCTCGCAGTGTAAGAAGCTTTTGTTAAATAAAGTTTCAAAAGGGTTCGTAATTTGCCAAATCAATCAATTTTTTTACATAGACTGTCTCATAATTTCACCAGGTAATTTAATAACCCTTATAAATTGATTTCATAACATTCACTGACAACTTTGTAATACTTGCAAATGATTTCGAACAAGAATAGCTCGAAATTTTGATTAAGATAGTCATAAAAATATATTCATGTTTATATGCTCGTAAGTTATAGCTTCTTCAGTTTATGATTTATTTACTTATATATGTTATATTACGTATCTATAAAATATGTAGTTATAAGATGCACTTAAAAAAGAAAGTTGTCCATGAACATAGCGTCGACAATTTGACACGTTTCGAAGCATTCAGAGCATATTCACAATAACCAATCATAGTATTACTCCTCATTTCCGTTTTCAAAAATCAAACTTCATACATTAATGTATTTAATTTAAGTCTTTTTACGCTCACTTTATCGAACTTTACCTGAAGCTCACAGATAAATTTTTGGCAGATCTTACATTCATCTTCTTTGATGATGATCACTTTTTCCTATTGTAAAAACACCAAAACTTCCTGACGGATCGTAGGTCACCTCAGTGCCTTACAAACAAGTAAAGCCCAGCAAACTTCCAAACCTGTGGTAACTGATTTATATTTTTCTGCAGCGTATAATGTATTATATTCTTAATAGGGGATAAATAAAGGTTTTATATATATATATATATATTCCGACGTTTTTTTGTCTATATTATTCGTTACTTATAAACCAAGCGCCTAAGGCCTTGCCAGATTGGTTCTTTAAATAAATATGAATGTATCTATCTAGCAGCAGCGACCCGGACCAAAAAATAAAACATTTATACTTATAAATTTATTTATTTCAATATATAACCGAGCATTATGAAAAGCTATGCGCTGGCTGAAAGAAAAAAACTATGAACGAAACTTACTGCGTAATGACACCACCTAGTATTATTTTTAAAGGAGGCTATAGGAAGTACACAGACAACATCATGAAAATTTATTATTCGACAGCGAGAATAAAGAAGTTCTGTGCCCTCAAATTAGTTTCTTAAATAGGCATTAACATTTCTAGTTCATTTCACCATCTGACACTTGACTTTTACATAAAGTTAAAAAATTTGATGAATTCCAGATTAAAAGATTAAAAAATCATGTGAAAATTTTGTTTTATAAATAACGTATTATTATACTCTAATAGGGGATAAATATATATACGCATAAATGAAGGTTTTGATAAAAAAAATCTTTCAGGTTTATTCTTAATGGATTTAAACTATACTACCCAGGACGGAAACGGAAATAGACAAAACTCGCACAAGTTGAAGGAATATTTTTAATGTATAATGGGTGAAAGACTGGATTTTCTTGATGGTGTAGCACTCTGCATTTATTAATGGAAATAGAAATTTTTTCTCTTTCTTGAGACCTTCTGACCATATTATTTAAATCCTCAAATGGAGCCAACTTGTCCGATCCACCATGTTCGGAATAAATTTTACAATCATCTGCATAAAAATGAATGGTAGAACTTTTAATAACTTTGGTCATATTATCAACATAAAAAAAAAGTAAAAGTAATAAAAAAACGCTAAAATAATCTAATATTTTTTTGGACTGTATTTTCTTTCGAAACTACGCTGAATCCATGCTGGAATAAACAGAACAATAAACAGAACAGAACAATACCCAATAAAACTTGCATATCTACTTAATAATGACAACACTTCTCGCCACATAGCATGTGCCGTATTATTAGCTTCTTGGTACCATATGCAATCTTTGATTCATCTAAGGTCTAAATTTTCATGCGCTCTCTTTTAGCAATTGCTGATTTGAGTTTTTCTACTGGTGACTAGGGCAAAATGCCTCAAAACCTTGCAAATCCACGTACTCTACAATTAATTTAAGTAGCTCGTTCTTCAATTAAGTCCATTTATCGCTGGAAAGCTTATTCGAAATCTCTTTTGGCTGGCAATATCGATCCAAGCTTTGACTGGGATTCCTCGCTTCTGAAATAGCCATGTTTCGTACCTCCAAAATAGGATTTTGTGTATAAAACCAGACAGACTAATTTCCATTTTGAGGTAGATTTCGCAGCGCTTCCCTAGATGCAACCATTTCTGGCTGCAAACATCCCAGTTAAAATTTCAACATTTGCATAACCAAGTTTTTATGAGAATAAATCTTCTGTATTTAAAACTCGATACTTTTGAACCCGTGAAAATTTCATTAAAATTAATAGTTCATTTAATATTGTTCAGTATATAAGAAAAAAAGGGTTTCGTCCTATTTAAATGGATTTGAAAAGCCAATTTTCCCTCCTCTTATCGACACCAGGTTTGATATCTGTTGTAACCTCTCCCAATTCATATATTTAAAAATAAAAAAGCAGAGCCGAAAGCCTCACGCTTGAATTAATAACAGCTAATAAATGAAAAAAATTGATGATAGCGATACAAAATACAAAAGGAATGCGATAAAAGCCAACAAAATAAAGAGCAAATGAAAGGGAATTATAGACTATGAGTCTAAATAAATATATTGCTGATAAATAACTGTATAAAAAAAATTTCAAGATTCCTGCATAATGTGAGGTTTCTAAATAATATTATAGATCATTTTTTTTCCTTCTTCTTCTAACATCTCTCATCGTTGCTTGGGTTGGCTCCACTGGCTACAAAGATAAGATGTCTCCAAGCTTCTCGGTTCGATGCAATTGCTAGTGGTAAGTCCCTCCTTTTTCCATCTTTTATATCCACATATCGCTCGTCCTCCTATTTATTCAAAAATTTTCCTGAATATATCAGCCCAGGTATTGATTGGACCATCTTGCTTTTGGCATCATCCATCACAGTGTTTAGCAAGTAACGAAATATGGGTCAGATAACGCACCTTAACCAGCGAATGTGACGCTATATGATGGTACTGTTAATGCAAATAGTATTTGAAGGAAGGTGGATGTGATCATGTCCGAATTTATCCGCTCGGCGTAAAATGTATCTTAAACATCAGTGATCAAAAGCTGATAGCTTTTTGGTATCCTCCACTCTCATCGGCCATGTCTTGCAACCATATAGCAAGATCGAACCAATCGCAGCTATATATAAAAACGGACTTTAGTTTTTATGGTGATCTCGCAACGGCTTCATAAAGGTTTCATCAACCGAAAGAACGTATTTCTGACGTTATCTGGTTTACCATGGACGGTTTTACTTAATCTTTTTTTAAAAATAACTAATTGCATACGGGTTTCAGATTATTCCACAAATAGGTTATGAGCTCAGTTTTGCATATAGGTTTTAGTAATTTTAGTTCATTAAATCTCGTTTGGTTCAAACTCAAAATTATATCTGGAACAATCTGATTTGACATAACCATAAAGATATGTACGAATTGAATCTTAATTCGACGAAATGTGAAATAATTTAGGTTATATAATTCAAGTTATGTTTTATAATTAAAATTGCTATAAAGAGGAGCAAAATATTTTCGAAGTCCAATTAATTTACATGATTTGAGGTATCTAAGAGAATAACAGGCCACATCATCATAATCAAGAAGTGACCGAATGAACACTTTTAATGAACGCAGAAGGCTTTCAATTCTACTTGCCGTACCTTCAACGATTTCTTTACTACAACTCTGCAGTGAAGGTCGAAATCAACATTTTCATCCAGAATTATGCCAAAATATACGAGACCAATTTGATTATTACCACTAATAAATAGATTAGAAAGATCAGATCCTTCAGAATTTATTTCCAATAATACCCTACACTTTTGAATGGAAAGGATAATCTGTCAGACACATAACCGGTTGGCAATTGTATTGACCTTGTAGCTATACTATCTGATCTACCATGAGAATAAATTTTATAAACATCAGCAATAAGATATATGGTAGACTTTGGTGATATCATCAACATATAATAAAAAAATTAGTTATATAAAGCCATATTTGAAAGAATTATTGATACGTACAGCTTGGTATCCGTCCTTTAAGTTATTTGTAATTTGATATCATTATACAAGCCTCCAGTAATGCCATAATGGTGACCAACAACTTAACGTAGGAAATAGCATCAAATTTACGCAAATATAACTGACACTGATGTTCTTTCATTACCTGACATTATTTTTCTTTCATTATTAACTGACGCTGACCAATCAAAAAGATTTGCCAATATTTGTGAAGTGATTTCTTTCGTAAAAAGGCCTTGCTGATTGGAGTATTAAAACGCTGGCACCAAGAGAGCTAAGCAATTTGTTGCAAGCAACTGGCACCGAAAATGACAAAACTACTAACAATCCAGATTCTGTCATGTTCTGGAATCGCTACATCTTGGAATTGAAAAAATTTTTGTTGAGCGGTCGTTTCAAAAAAATACTCTCGATTTATTTTTGTGAATTTATTTTTCCTTTCTGATCACAATTCAACTAAGACCTCTTAAACTTTTAATTTTTTTTTACCAAACAACGATTAAAATTAAAATAAAATAAATTAAAATTATATCAATTAAATTAAATCTAATCAATTAAATTGTATAAAATATATATATATACACAGCCATATATATATATATATATATATATTTTCCAAACATCATTGTCCATTTTATTATCTTCTTCAAATTTAATTTCCTTTTTGCCTTTGGCAGAAGTAAACCTGCTATTATGTCAAAAATCCGGGTGGCTGCTGGGGACCCATCTGTAACTCTATCCCCAAGTGACTCTATGGTGAAAAGGTTAGATACACTTCATACGGTGTCTGCGTCTTCCGACGCGCACGATACTTCGAGCCCAGTGGTACATGCGATAAATATACAATCCGGGCTTAAAGCGATCCCAAGGCTGATAAATAAAATGTGCT